TTTACTACATCACAAGCAGCAAAAATAGCTGAGTAGACCGTAAAGTGTCTCTGACATGAGAAAATAGCATAAGCAACATTTGAAATGAGTGTTGAGGGAGCTGGCCAAAGCAAGGCCGCTTTCGATTATCTTTGAAAGACTGTGGCAACTAGGGGAGGTTCCTGAGGATTGGAAGGTTGCAGACATCACTTTTGTCTTCGAGAGAGAAGATCCAGGAAACTTCAGGCTGGTCAGCCTCTCCTTGATCCCTGAGAAGGTGATGGAGGAAGTAGTCCTGCAAGCAATTTCCAAACATGTTAAGGACAAGAACGTGATTGGATTTAAGACAGGGAAATTGTGCTTCACCAACCTCATAGCCTTCTAGGATAAGATGACTGGCTTGGTGGATGAAGGGAAAGCAGTGGATGTTGTTTCAATTTTAGCAAGGCTTCCGATGCCGTCTCCCATAACATCTTCATACACAAGCTGATGAAGCATGGCTTAGATAAATAGACAGTGAGGTAGACTGAAAACTAGCTGAGCTGCCAGCCTTCAAAGGATTGTAAGCAGCAGCACAGAGTCCAGCGGGAGGCCAGTCACAAGTGGTGTACTCACGGATCAATACTGGCACCAATACTGATTAATATCTTCATTAACGACCTGGATGGTGTGACCAAGTGCACCTTCAGCGTGTTTGCAGGCAATACAGAATTGAGGAGGAATGGTCAATCCACCAGGTAGGTGGCTGTGCCTCGGGGACCTCGGCAAGCTGGAGAAATGGGCCGATGGCAGTTCCATGGTAATGGAAAGTCCTGCACCTGGGGACAGGTAACCCCAGGCACCAACCCAGGCTGCGGGCTGACTGGATGGAGGGGAGCTTGGCAGAGAAGGACCTGGGTTTCCTGGTGGACAACAAGTTGCCCATGAGACAGCAAGGTGCACTCATGGCAAAGGCGACCAACAGGATCCTGGGCTGCATTAGGCAGAGCGTTGCGAACAGGTCGAGGGAGGTGATCCTTTGCCTGTACTCAGCCCTGGTGAGGTCACCCCAGGAGTGCTGTGTCCCCACAGGATTCTGGGCTCCCCATTCCAAGAGAGCGGGGGACATAGTGGAGTGAGTCCAGCAAAGGGCTGGAAAGATGACTAAGGGACTGGGAGCATCTGTCCTAGGAGGAGAGGCTGAGGGAGCTGGGACTGTTCAGACCACAGAAGAGAAGGCTCAGGGGGATCTTATCAATACCTCTTAGGCAGACTCTTCTCAGTGGTGCTCAGTGACAGGACAAGAGGCAACAGGCACAAACTGAAATACATGAGATTCCATTTAAACAGAAGAAGAAAAAAATTACTGTGAGGGTAAATGCTGGAACAGGTTGTGGAGTGTCCATCCTTCAAAAGTCACTCAAAACTCCACTGGACACAGGCCTCCTCTAGTTGCTCTGAGCAAGGCGGGTGGAGATTATCTCCAGAGATCCCCTCCAACTTTAACTATACTGTGATTCTGTGATCTTTGTCTTAAGCAGTCCCTCTAGATAAATTCCCTTTTGCCATGTAATGCTCTCTAATAGAACGCTTTCTGGATATTTCAGACAAACCTACTTTTCAAAATTCAATAACAGAATTTTTCACGAACAAAATCATGCTGGTCCAGCTCTACTAGTTTTTCCTTGGAGGAGGAAAGGGCATAGAAAAATGGTTTGAAAAGCCAATGTAACGAGAGACATTAAAAAAAAAACATTGTAAGATTCTGTTTACTCTCACACCAAACTTTTGAATATTGACTCTCTGATGAATAGCAAACAAGAAAATTTCTGGCAAGCCTGTTCAGAAAATATTGGATAAATGCATGAATAATTACTGTTGGTCACAGAATCTCCATACTCAGCTTGATCATTTTTTCTTTACTTATATTTTTACCTGATCTAGGCAGGATTTGTGTAAATCATTTTAAATTTGATAGATAATGTCTTTACAAAGAAAAGATAACTGTTTCCATAAGATAATGCATCATAACCATAATGTCTGTGAGAATTTGCACTGATTGCCTTGTGACAAATTGAAGAAAGGGCTGAGCCCTCCTGAATCTCTCAGAACTTCTCTATGGCTTTGGAATTTTTTGTGAAATCTTTGCTGCAGATGTTTCCACAGACCATGGGAAACTGAAATTCTTTATCATGTGCATTTAGGCATGTCATTTTCCAGGGAAAAATCTGACATAATAGCATCATGTTCTTGACTTATTCTGCCAGTGTCCACCATGGTAATGACTTCTTGTGGACACATGATTTATACATCCAATTCAATCATATGAGCGATCCTATAAAAGGTGCATATTTTCATAAAAGTCTAATAGGGGTAAAAATCTCATAGGGCATTTTAGCATGAAACTGGAAAATGAGTTGCTGTAGATATGTAATCTCTTCTGCTGAAGTCATCATAACTGTTCTGTGGGATCATGAATGACTATATCTTTAGGAAATTACATTTTATGCATTTAGGAAGGTGATGTCTAAGGAGATAGAAAGTATATGGCTGTATAAAATAACATGTAGATTTTTGAAGGAACTGTAAAATATTAGCCGTTGGAGTAGGAAAGACCTGTTTATCATGTTATCAGGTCTTGTACAGGATAAAGTGTTTCAGTAATCCTTCTAGCATACTTTAAATATCTCAAGCTGTAGTGCTTTTAAAAGTACTTCCTTTGAAAAATTGTTAAACTGTACCAACCAATTGCTAGTTGGCATAAGTGAAGTTCTAACAGTGAGAAATATCTTTCTGATATGTATCAAATTGATTTCTGTTTGCTTGGAAGAGGTTGTATGCCCTAGCAATTTTCCTGTTTTCTATATGTGGTGCATAGGTTTTTATGTGAAATATAAAAAATGGCCAAAAATACATCAAAACATTTCTATTAATTCATGAAATTAAGAAAACCTTTTTACATTTTCTCCTGTCACTGATTCCATTTGCTTTATTACTTTCAGCCTCTAGCCCACAAACTTGGTGGCACAATCAACAAACCCCTTAGTGGCTGTTTCATCTCTGCTCTATTTGATTTCTCCACTCTGAGTAAATGATTAAGTTTTCATGCATTGGTTCAACCAAAATCTATGTTCACTCAACCACATCCTTTATTGATTACTTCTACTGCAAACAGTAGGCCAAGTGTGATATACATAATTGGACAGTTGTCAGGGGATGTGGGTGTTAACAGTCCTGTTTTCCCAGTTGGAAACTGGAATCACCTTGATACACAAATATTCTGCACTGTTTCATTCTAATTCCTTGGACCGAGGAGTCCTTTTCCTCAGAATATATGTTTTTAACTCTCAAAGGTCTGGTTGAATGGATTTAATGATTATACCATATAATATGCTCTTCAAGTTGCACCTGTGCACTGCATATAGAAAACTAGAAAAACGGGAATTAATATTTGTCTAACACTTTAACCTTGTCCTTTAACTTATATAAATCATATGCTGTATTTCTGTGGGGAAACATTTGATTTTGTCTTCTTAGGAAAAAAAAACAGGTGTAAAAAAATGTGTTTCTAATTTTAAAGTTTAGAAGCCTTTTGACATTTGGCAAATGTTTACAGTACAGTATATTTAATATTATCGTGATATTAAAATACTTAAATTAGGAAACTTTAGGAAATCCAACTCTGCTTATTGACAGCTAAGCTTTACCGTAGCATATAGTTGAACATTTCAACCATGTTAGTTTGTAGTGTTTTAGCATCCTTTTGTAGCAATGTAGCTCATCTCCATCACATACGGATAATGACTGCAATATTGCAAATTTGCAGCCATGCTTTACTGTGTTTCCTGTTTCATGGCAGGCACTACCCTGTTATAATTACTCTGATATCATAAGGTAGGGAGTTGCAGACTTCTGCCAGATTTTGAAAGCACATATCCCTAATATAGTTTATAATAAAAACTGTAATGTAAATAAACCCCAGTCAGTCATTTGCTGCAGGAATGTAACTTGAAGGTGTTTTAAAATGGTGAGAAAATAAATCACAATTCTTTATCACTTACAGGAACTTCTGTTTCTGTGAGTTTCTTAATTAAGACTGGATTTTCTGTCTTGCTTGGTGGCTTGACATTTAGCATGCTGCACTCCTACATTAGTGACTCAAGTTCACGGCTAATATTGAGGTCAGCTGCAGTAGCACTTCAGCCTTAAAGGGAAAAAGCGCAGTGCCTTACTTACAAGCAAACCCAGATGTCTATCTTCTATCTTGTATATACTGCAGAGATCTTATATTGTTAATACGACTGGCTTTATTAAAAAAAAAAGGAAATCTGCAAATGTCATTGTCAAAGTACATTAGCCAATTTTCAACTTAGATTCAACTGTGACCTCAGGTTGCTCTGATCTCACTGGGATTTGGGGGTGACACCTGCAATCCACAGTTGATAGGTTTGCCTGTGTGACTTCAGCAACCTTTGATCCACCCAGCCAAAGTGCAGCATTACACTCAGGGAAAGGCTGTCACCCCCAGAACTAAGAGACAGCGCCGCTATGGAGCTGCTGCTGCACCACCAGGGTTCTAGAGCAAGAAATGGCAGATCTGAATGACAGGAGCACAAAAAGTCTTACTGAAAATCTAGCCCTCCTACCTTCTTCCCCTATTTTGTCAGGATGTGAAGTCCGGCTGTATTGAAAGTGTTATCAGCTGCTCAGCAGAAAAAATATTAAAGCAATGGAAACTCCAAAACCCCTGTAAAATCATCACCTGCATTTTCATTCTTGGCCTTAAAATATGGCACAATATTCTGAAGAAGAATTTTGTTTTATTTCACTCAAAGGATCCAGTTCTGCCCTCAGAGGTTCTGTGTGGACTGGTCTCATTGGTCTCAGCGCAGGTAGTGCCTAGACAACTGTTTTGGAAATAAAGTTGAGTCACGGATTAGTCATCACAGAGTAAAGTTACTTCAGAACAGGGGGACAGATCTTCAGCATTTGGAGAAGCCATCTGAGTGAATATTTAATTTTGTCCCTGTCCTTTGCTTCAGTCAGGGAAAAGCGGCTGAAACTATTGAGTACTTGGGAGAGTTTATGAAGGTTGCTGAGAACGCTCATCTAAGCCAAAGCCTGGTGGATGCATGTGTATTACTTGGGAATGTTTACAATGAAAGAGTAAGTATTGGTTGTAGTAATGATGTCAAACAATTGGGTTTAATTCATGGTAAAAATCTGGTTTTGCGTATGAGACGATCCAGAAGGATTTGATCCAGGTATTGTATCTTACAAGAGTTACCAAAGGAGAAGATACTGTGTGACTAAATAAAATGTGCCTTAAGTTTTTGGGAAAGGTGAAAATTTCACACCATACTTAACACATAGGGTTTTGTTCTAGAATGGGTGAATAAAAACTCCAAATTCAGATCATGACAAACTTTCAGTGTTGTGAAAAATCTGCATCCAAATCACCACTGGGGCCACATATGCCCATAAAGAGTGATCAGTTAACACAAATGAAATTTTATTGTACCATACATTGAAATTTGTGCTTTTTTAAAATGAATGTATACTATATTGCATACTAATAAGCAGTTTTTAATCTTAGCTTGATTTCTTCTCTACGTTCTCTCAGCCAAATTTATTAAATGGGCGCTAGCAGCAAATAGTTTGGCAAAGGTCTGTGCTGGTAGTGGAAGGGCTTTCTCTTCTATATGGCTCCATCCAGCCTAATGGCTTTGATTTGACCTGTTTAAATCAATAGATAGGCAGTGACAGACAATATTAAGCTAGAAGTAACTAAGAAACTCCCTTTATCATAATTTGTAAGGTCTTTTGAAGTGCTTCTTTCTGACCCATGTGCCAGTCTCTGAATTTCTCCTCTGGGGTGGACCCTGCAAAGGTAGCAGTTCTGCTGGCTGCCTGACTGGGTAGCGGTGTCCATGTTTACTCTGTCCCTTATTGCATCTAGAGATGCAGCACTTGCACTGCAATAGCCCTTGGTTTTTGAAATCGGAAGGGTTAAAAACATTGCTGCAGAAGTGAAAGATTCATGTTGAGCCCTTTAGCATCTATTTTAGAGCTGAAATGCTACCTGAAATTATTTAGATACAATAAGTAATAAAAAAATTCATTCTGCAGACTGGACAATGTGGAAATTAGGAAACACTTTCATTATAACAAAATAAAAATAGAAATACCCTTTCAAAATCACCCTTTCTAGCTTTTGTTGCCTGGTTTTTTTTGTCACCGTTTCTTTTCTATGCATAATATATTGAACAGGCTACTTGCCCCTTTTCACTTACACTACCCCCAAATGCCTTTTTTTTTATAACTGGATTCCTCTTACAGAGAACTCCCGCTCCCAAAGTTGCTGGCCCGTTTTTGTTTCATAAGCAGTAGAAAAATTTCTTACTCTGTAATCTCTAAATTAGCCTGAGAGTTTTCTATTTACATATGTTCTTAGCATAAATGCCAAATTTCCCATTGAAAACTAAGTTTTAAAGTCTTTGAGAACTCGCTAAAGTAGCTTTAAAATGAAACTTAGAAGAAAGTAGGGTGATGTGACACTGTGCTTAATCATTCCATTCCACATTTGAGAAATAATTAACTAAATTCTGTTTAACTACTTTTATATTTCACTGCTTCTGCCACCATTGCTAATAATCAATTCTATGAGAACTGATATTTTAAGAATTAACCTCTTTTTGGTTATTCTCTAAATTCTCTTTCTCAGTTCAGAATTTGCTGCCTTCAACTGGGGTAATGGTGTAGAAGGGAAGAAATGTAGTGACTTAATCTTATTAACTTACATAAACTATGTAATTTAAACGTGCTAAAAAAAAAAAGCTCTTAAAGTTTTACAATTCCCTATTTTCTATACCATTTTTTCTGCAAGGTCAGCAATGTTTACCAAAACTGAGCCTAAATTAACATTTCCTCTCTTGGATCGCTGCCTGCTTGGTGTCAGCTGTCATCACCAGTATTCTCGAAGTCATTATTAGGGTATTTTTATTCAACTCTATACTTCCCCTGGTGATACAATTTGCAGTAGTACTGTCCTTCTCATCAAATTAAAGATATCTCTATTTATATCCAGATCTATCCTTGGGGACCTTTAGTAAACTGGAGATACAGCTTTTACTGTTCTTCCCAAAGTGACTTTGACCAAATTCACTTTGCTCTGTCCACTCTGTTGCTGTATCTTTACAGTTCTGTCACCTCACTATTCCATCGCTGTCTTTCTTTAATGCTGTATACTCAGTTCCTGCTTTCTAGTCATGATTGTTTTACCCATACGTTTCTTGTTTCCAAAAATGCCTGGGTTTGTGTTATGCGTGAGTATTAGGTCTAATTTCTCCCAGTTTGTTAAGCGGGTTGCTTACTTAGTATACAAACTCTGATGGAGTTAGCATGACACACTCTGTCATTTCTCATTTCACTTTTCTCAAGTTTCTTAGTCTGATTTGCTGCATTCCTCTCACTAATTGCATCACTTAACCTATTATAGTTCTCAGGAGTATGGTAGGTAGATGTTTCTGCTTTTTATCTATTATCCTACTGCTTATCATTCTTTATTCATTGCGGTGTCCTCATAGGCCTAATTCTGCTCTCTGGTGTATTAAAGCCTAAAGACTACCTGAATTTTTATTACTCTTCTCTCCTTTTTTAATTACAGGCACATTTTAGCAGTCATACAAATTTTGATCCCACAAAGTGGTACCAAGTGCAACAGGTATTAATTGGAGTCTCTCCTCCTGGTCTCTGTACTATATGCAGAAGGGAATTTCAATGTTGCTAAATCAAGCTGAGAGTGAAAGGATAAGACAGCTCTGAAAATGTTTTCAGTCAGGAAGTTTGTGCCATCAGAGCAACAGAATTCCACACCAGTGGGAGCAATGGAAGGCATCTTCCAGGGAGCAGGCAGGCTATAGTTAGTGTTAATGACAGACATATAGAAACTGCCACAAGAAGTTTGTCTAGCTCTGACAATAGCCAGAATGAATTCCTTCAGAGTAAGGTAAAGGACGAACAGTTCCATAATGACTTGCTTGCAGGAAGACCTTTTTTTGCCTTGTTTGTTGATTATTTTTTTTTCACAAGGATGTCCAACCTTTTTCTTAGTAGGCTTATGGTCAAGATTGTTACCATGAACGATCCATAAAGAGGAGAGAGCTATCTGCAATTATTTTAAAATTTCTTGCTCTTCAGTTATATTCAATTTATACCTATTCTCCTATTGTAGTTGGTAGCAATTTTCAGTCTATTCCTGGTTTATATTTGCTGTTTGGCATGTATTTACCTTGTCCAGTTTTATTAATATACTGTTTGTTTATTTACATACATTCTATCTACTCTTGCTTTCTCCACCGCATTCTTGATGCATCCTGATACTTTGTTTGAGCTTACTTGATATTAGAGCTGTTTGGCATTTAGGAGAAGCCACTGCAGAGCTGCCCATGTTATTTCAAGGCTGTCTTCCTGAGCCTGAGTTAATTAGAACCCACTAAAAGTTACAAACAGTTCCAGCAGTATGAATTACCTCTCATTTTCTAAAGAATTAATTTCGTTTGCTATCACATAACCACTCAGGAAGTAGTATTAGGTCCCTTTGAAATTCCTCAAAGCCTTGCAAAAACCTTCCTTTTTTACCTTTTTCGACAATCTTGGCAAAATTGTCATCTGATTCTTTTCTATAATAATTAAACATTAAACAATACTGAAACTAGAGCATAAAGTTATTGCACACTGCCACGTATAATACCATTTAATGAGAGATGTAACTTATTTCCCAGCAATACAATCTCTTTGTCTTTAGATTTCCTCAAATCTTTTATTTATGCTCTGTTTAGGTCTGGTGGTATGCTACGTTTTAAATTAGAAGCTTGCTCCTGCAACCCTTCTTTTGACTCCATCTCTGATGGTAGCTCCAAGTAGCTTCATGGCAAAGAAGAAATATGCAAAAGATGAAGAAATATACCAAGAAATATTTTAGCTTTTCAGCAGTATCCTTCAGCCTATCATGATTTGCCCTAGTTTTCTCTTTATTTCTCTTTGGTCAAGAAGTTGAGGAGTTTTCTTTCTATATCTCACATAAAAAATAGTTCTTGTTATACTTTTTTTAATTCCTGTTAATGTATTATCTGCTGTAGTTTATACTCCTTTTTACTGGATTCATGAATGTTGGATTTCTGTATTCTGCAGGATAGAGAGGTAAACTGTTTGGGTTTTCTATGTAGCAACAGTTGGCTTATATTTCTCCTACTGTTTCTCTTGTGATTAGGAATATGCCTGGGTTTTGGTATATCCCTTCTTCCACCATAAATCTGTAGGTTTTAATTTCTGTTCTTTTCCGTGCTTTAGGTCCATCATTTCATTATCCTCTTTTTTCTTTTTTCTTTTCTAAAATTTAGTGTCACAATAGTAAATTAGGACCTTTCCTCCCACAGAGATGTTAATGAAACAATAGCGATAATTTCTATGGCCTGGCTGGAATCGGTATTAATACTTAGCATTGATATACTAAGATTTGGATGTTCAAAATACTACACAGACAAACAAAAAACAGTTCCGTTCCTGAGAAAGATATGAGCAGCATTATCTGGATTTTAGAGGTTAGGAAACAGCAAGGGAGAGTGGTTTGCTTAATACCATGCCATGAGTCATTTTGTGGGTGGGCCTCTCAGCTGCAACATCTCTGAGGTGCCAGAGGAGCAGGCTCTAATGTCAAGGTAAAATACAGGTGACTACAAGTAGTTTTTACAGTTCTTCTCTTTTTTTCTCTTCTTTACTAGGGGAACTATAACGAAGCTTTTGAATATTTCAGTCAGGCTTCTGAGGCAGCAAAAACCTTAAATAGTTTGCCCTTAGTGGATGAAACAAAGACTTATTGTGGCATTGCGAAGGCTCATAAACTGATGGTGGCATTTAACAGCCATATAGAAGCAGAAGATCCCGTCAGCCTCAAGTACCTGCTGGCATGGAAGGAGAACAGAAGTGACATGTGCGCTGACCCTCTTACAGTCGGTAAGGCATTGGTTATGAAACACATTAGTGCTGTATTGTCCTCAACGGTTAAGTTGTTTTTCTTGTAGAGTTTTATTAAATTATTTCCCGGGTTTAATCCTTGTACTGAATGGAGGTTAGATTTACTGCTTTGTGTGCTTATTTTAAAGGCTGAATTAAATAGGTTTAAATACAATATAGCAGGCAGAAACAGATAGTAGTAGTTGCTATGGATGGTAACTTTTTTCAGTGCTGTTTTCCAAAATATTACAGTTACGGGCAAACAGTGATGTATTAGTTTAGTCAAATATCATTATTTTAATCTTCAAAGAAAGAAAAAACATAATAATCTTCATCTGCGTCAGTTTTTCAAGTGCATCCAAAAATAAGTTCCCTGTTACCAAAAGTAAGAAGTAATTTCTGCTTGACATAGTGGACATAGTTCTGAATTCAGAAGAACATGCTGTTTTATTTTTGGCATCCTTATACTTGACATTGGAGGGGAAGGGGAAAAAAAAAAAAAGCAACTCTTATGATTTCTTCACTGTGTTTTCTTGTCTCAGATAAAGAGTAGAGGAGGACTTTGTGTGGAGTAGACCTCTTTCTTCATGGGTTAAATTTTCTTTACTTTTTGTTCCCTGTGCTATCTGTTAATACAAGACAAACTGAATCAGGCATTATCTCCAAGTATTGGCAGTATTAAACTGTATTGTACTGAGGAAGGAAAAGGGATAAGTCTGCTCCACCTTAAAACTTTCCTCTCTGCATTCCTGTGGAGAGTGTGAATCTGGACTACAGTGGAAATAAATAACAGCTGGGGCAAAGTCATAATATGGAGCTTCAGAGCTACTGTGTCCAAATTCCCTCAGTGATCAAACTCTCAAAGACAAAGAACTGCTTGTCTGCTGTTTTCTTGTGTATCTTTTCCTTTCATAGAATTGGAACACTTAAGTATAATTTCAATTGCGAATTTTATTTATAAAATAAATGGTTAATAGCCTGGTAACTGAAGATGTTAGTGGTTTAACAGGAGCCAGGATACCAGAGGCAACACTGGAAGCAGCTGAGAATTGTGGAACGAGGACATTGATTGGCATGCTGAAGAGATAACAAATTAGATAGCACTCTGCTTAGAGTTCCAGTGATGGTAACAGGGCAGTTATTTCTCGATGACAACGTGTTTCTTTTTCAATGACTATATGTATTTATGGGGTTTGCCCCAATAAGTGAGTAACCAGTACACTGACAGATTTTGTTGGCTGGCAGAGTTAATTGGGTGCGTGTCTCCTGCAAGGGGTAGTAAGTTTCTAGACCTGTAGTGCAGATGACAAGAATTCCAACAGAGGTGGTCAAAGAAGAATCCAATGTCAAGCAATTTTATATGCATTTCATATGAGGATCATTAGCTCTAGCTGATGTAAATAGGAGGCCAACAAAAATCAACAACGGCAACAGCAAAAAACCAGGAGCCTCGAAGAGATAGGGTGATCTTTTTATCTTCAACATGTATTTTACTTCTTGCATCTAAATAGGTTTTCTGTTCAACTTTTATACATCGCTTTCTCCAGCCAGTTGTGAAACTCATTTATACCCTGAAATGATATGTGCCCCTTTAAGCTCGAGCTTCATGCTCCTCTTTAACAGTACTTCAGGGATAAACAGAGTATGATTAGAAAAGCCCTTTATGTCCTGGCAAGCATGGCAACCAGAAACAAGTTTTGCCTGCTGAGATTCTCTTCCTTCTGTATTTCTGCCTAGTTTACCCTCTGTTACTTTCGGTATTACAGTTTTCATTTTAGTTCCAGTTCACTCCAGGAACCCTGTGGCTACTGCATATTTAGTAGCTCTTCCAGTTCAATATCATTCTTCTCATTAGTGCTCCAAGCTTACTCTCATGATACCCAGATTACATCCAGGAAAACATAGTGTCACACTGTCAGCACAATCTGTAACATTCTTCATGTTTTGTGTGCCAAATCTCTCGTTAGTACTGGCATTACATTTTTAATATCTTTGTCTGGCAAAACATGACCTGGCACCAATTCAGTATTAGGATTCACTGGCTTTGAGTTTCAGGTACAGCCTTTATCGTACCTTCCAGGAGAATGTCTGTGCATCCTACGATGAACTCACCACTTTGGAAATTCTTGCTGTGATAATAGAACAGTATTTCTAGCTCTTTCAAACAGCTCAACATCGATAATCTACTAGATTTTTCTCAGTCTTTTTGAGGATAAAACAGCTAAAGACAAGATGCAATGGTAGTTCTTAATCCGTAGGGGAATTTAATGAAAAGAAGATGGAAGGTAATAAGTTTTTATTTCTAACTGTTCTGACTGAATAATTTTTCTGTGACAAAAAAACAAGAGTATTTTCTGTATTCTTAGGCAAAAGAAATACTTAGGCTAGTGGAGGAACAATGACATTTAAATTCAAGTACTGCCATATACCTTATGTCTTTCAACCAAGGCTTATTTTCTAAATCAATCATTTCAATAACCAGGCAGGAAGAACCATTAATTACTCAATTTACCTCAACATTTATTAATAAAATGGATGTTTTGACCAAAGTTGTCATGGACAAAAGGGATGGGATTGTCAGAAAACAGTGTTTATAAATGCAAAGGAATATGTGTTTTTATCTGCTGCATTTGACTCGGTTACCTGATTTCACATACAAGAGAGTTATTTATGCCATTGTGAGATGCCACTGCAAGAACAAATACGTTTTTATTGATCTTTTTATGTTTAGTCAAATGTATAAAAAATAATTATCAGCAGAGAATAAGTAGGCAAAAAGGCTTGTGACTCCACGTTAAAGCCTAAAAAGGAACCCACAGCATGGCTAACATTGTCTGATGAGAAAATATTTCATAGGTCTTCCAATAAATAATCTCCTGACTTGCTGCCTTCTAGAAGGGAGAAGAATAATTAAAGGTGCCGAAGGCAGGAAAATTTTGGATCAGATTTTGGATATTGATTACATTAAATGCTGAGCAGGAATTGCGTTTTCTGTGAGTCTGGCAAATATCAGTCCAGGTCATTGCATCTGGCAGGGTTGTGCCTCAGCAAGAGACCTTGGATGCTTGAAATCACCTAAACACTTTTAAGAGTAGACTTAAAATGTATTCTTTTCCTTATACTAAAAAGTCTTCAGCTGTTTTCTTGAGAAATGTTATGTGCTTTTGACCATAATTTAGATTTACATTTCTTGACTTTGGAGAAGTTTGCAAAATTGACACATTTTACTGTAGGTTTTCCATGTTTGTTTTGTTGGGTTTTTTTATAATAGCTACAAAAGCAGGATAAATGGTTGTGTCTTACCCATATCATCAATTGTGAAGTCTTATGATCAATGGAATTATTTTGTACAATCAACTTCAGCATGATCAGGACTACTTCTAGCATCCCACACCTGAGCAGCCATCAACATGATTTAAAATGCATGCACCAGCTAAAACTACAGCTTGGAAAATACAATTCAATGAGCTTTTGTTTTTACTCTCAAGTATGTAGTCCCTCAATATTCTTTCTCCAGCTCCTTCTCATAGATGTATGGAATGGTATATTCCATAATGTGAATGTGTCCTTTTTGTTGTGTAAAAAGTTAAATTGTCATCCTACCAATTCACATTTTTAAAAGCTCTTTAAGGTGTTTTATAGTCATTTTTCTGTAAAAGGTGTGGCTAGTGCAAAATTGTTAACGTGTTGAAGAATAGAGATCTTACCAGGTGCGTTTTAGATTGAGCTTGTGTGTGACTTTGTCATTCATTAATAAAAGGATTATCCTAAAGAATGGTAAAGTCAGAAGTAAGATATGACATCAAAAATTACACTAAACAAATTCTGCTAACATTTCTCTACTGTAACGTCCCACAGCCAAGTAATTTATGGGCCATTTTGGTAATAGTGTCTGTCAGTAGAACAACCTGCTTCATAATGTGATAAACTGCTTTTTTACTGTCTCTTCTTTCTGAAGTACACTAATTCTAGGAAAACTTCTAACATTACAATTCTTGTCTTTCCTCCATTAATAAATTATGTTAGTTACCTCAAATGCATGCTAAATAAAACTGTTATGCTATGGCACTGTACCCAAAATGCTTGACTGTACTTTAACAAATGAAAACCAGTCTTCATCAGGAATGTGCGTTATAAATTATACTTTGTATTTGCCCAGTAAATGTTCATCGGAGGTAGCAGATTTTTTGATCTGAGAACATTTAAGAGAAAGAAAAGATAATGGTGCCCTGATCAAAACTACAAAAATAGCAAGTCTTTGTACCTCACACAGATATACATCCATAAAATAGTTTTTATATTATGTCAGTGGAAAGGTAGAGGCTTGTGTTAGCAGGTTCCTTTCACTGCATATTTCATATCTAAAGCTCTGTCATAGATTTTGGCATATCATGATACTCATGTGGGACTACTGGAATTGTGCAGGTGCGTGCACTCCCTCAAAGCCACTGTTTGTGTGTCTGTTATATTGTTTGGCTCATTTATTACTTAATAAGGTCTATTCTGCAGTTAGCATTTACAGAAGGCAAATATATAGGCTTGTATGGTGACTGAAATTACCGTGCAGTCTTAATATTTTCTTTTAACACGTTTCTTCTTGACAATGTATTAGTGGGTTTTGTAACTAACTTGTTGAGTAAAGATCATTAAATGTATACGCTGTCAGTGACAAAGTAGCTAGACTGAATTTGAACGGGCCAAACTATGATCTTCTTCCCTATCACTGCTGTGAAGAAGGTGGGAATGATTCAGACCCTCGTTTTGGGAGGCGGAGAGCATGGCCATGCATCCCAATGACCTTCTGGGCCCCTCCTGACTGTCAGTGGTCCCTTCAGCGTGCAGGAGTCTGGAGGCAGGATCTGTAATGGACGCTGCTTCAAGCTCTATATGCTTATGATTTATGTCAATAGCAAGTTATAGAAACTGAGAGTTTACTTAATTTTTCAGAATATATTGCTAATATGACCAAAAATAATGAGAAATTGAAAGGATTTTAGAGACAGATTTTGGTGTTTTCTCAGAAAATACAACTGAACATGAAATAAGGGAATTATACACTTGTTCACACGGGTAAATAAGAACTATGATTTTAAATTATGGAAAGGAGGTGTGTGACCAAGTACAGGCTCCAAGGCTGTCCCCATGCCAGAGGCACAGAGGCTCACTTCTTAATAAGCATGTTTCAAACGTAGCTCAAATGCTTCTGTGTCCCCCACTGAAATTCATAGGACGGCTTCTGCGCATTTTTGTGGGGTTTATCAAATTGAATAATTTGCTCTGGAAAAATACTGTGGTTAGAAATGCCAAAATATATACATTTAGGAAAATGATTAGTGGAAAAAAAAAAGAAAAAAGTAGAGGTGGTTCTGTCATTATTTCTTTTTCCTTAAAATTTACTAAACTTGTACTGCCTCTTCTTATTCACATCACCTAGCTCTCATCAGTTGCTGAATTTTAGCTTATCTCACTTTTAATTTTAAAAAACCTCAGTCATTTTTTGTACTGCTGTACCTTTGATATTAACGCAAGCTACCTTAAGTAAGTGTTGAAAAACAGCGTGCTTACACATGGATGTTGATGACATGGAACAGGTGTGTTTCAGAAAATCGGCTTATGTGATTCATATATCTTATGTTATTTATTATTAATTTGGATTTGGTTTTTCAGTATTTGATTAAGTCTGCTTAGTGATATACTCTGATATTTTTAGAAAGTGAGAGTGATTATTGCTTGGGCTACGGAAAGAATCAAGTGAAGAACTGAGGGTGACAGGGAGGTTTTTTGGGACATTGTGGTCAGTGGCCAGATGCACCAGATTCTGCATGAAGAGTCTGAGAACACCATTTAAACATCTGTGTCAGTTTTGCCATGAGTGCACTAGCTTGTTCTGTTTTCTGCCGATGACTGAAGTTCGCTTGAAAAAACATGATGGGGAGTGCTGATATTCAGTGTTCTTATGCTTTGTACAAATGCACTAGCCAGGGTTTTTTTCCTGTGATTTATTTTTAAATACTGCCTTAAATAATTGGGAATTGCTAGACAGGATCATATCTAGGCCAAGTCTGTGGATTGGCAGTACCAGATTTGAGAGGAGGGTTTGTAGAATATTTTAATGTTTAACCATGGAATAATGTGTTAGGAGAAGTTTCTTCATAGTCTTTGCCAAGAGTTGGCAGTTCTTGTATGTCTAAGTGGTGTTATAACTTCAAAAAGTTCAGTATCATCCTGTCTAATGTGATTGTGAGTGTTCTTGTCATCTACAGTTATATAAAAACATCTTAACCAGAGGAGAATTTGGATCTCATCTAGATTTTTCTTCCACCTGATACTTTCTATGCATTTCATGCATTTGCTTTAGACACATCCTGTGCTAAACGTTGTTGGCATCCAGCTATGTTTTCTCAGACAAGCTTTCTAAATCAGCAGAAAATGGTTCCCTAAATAAGGTCAATTGTTCTTTCTTGTGGGGAAAAAAATGTTGGAAGTGGTGTTCAAACTACAGTATATTGTGAGACCCTTTAGTGTAGCTTTACGCACTGAACTAGTATAGCTTTGTGCACTGCACTATCAGTACTTCTACCAAAAGTAGAGTTCCTTACCAGTTTAAAAAGTGACAATTCTCAGGGCAGAGGCTCAGTCCTGCTCTGATTCTGCACATCACTTGAATGGTGCAAAAGAAATTGAAGCTCTTGCCCAACCACATTAGGTCACTTCTGGAGGAGTCCTTGATTTGGAGGCACCTAGAAGTTTTAGGCTTGCCTGCAGCCCAGAGCATAAGAAATGCATTGACAAAGAGAAGAGTCATAAAGCAGAACAGCTGGCAGCTGCTGTGCTCTGGCAGTCCCCTGATGGTTGCAGGGCCAAAGGAGGAATAACCAGCTGGCATACTTTGAAGTGGCCCTCGGGCTTCTCCACATGTGCCCATCATAGGCCCCTTTCCTTTGCTGCATACACGAGCAGAGATGTCTCTGGTGGTTTTATACTCTTGTTCTCAAAAGGGAAAATTGATCCTCAGAAAGAACCAAAGAGCAGACTTTTATGTTTTTGTTTAATATTGAGAAGATTGTTGTCATTTAGACTTCATAAAGAACCTTTTATTGGTGCTGTCTGCAAACATGCCAACTGAGAGAGATTGACCTCAGGCCAACATGAAAACAGTTCTCTGCTGCAAACCCTTCCTTACCAAAAGCTCCCCAACAATCTTTGGACACAGAAAATCAAAGCCAAGACAAAGAAACTGTATTCAGTGCATATTTCTGTAACAGAACCCTTAGGTCACCTAAGCAGTCACAGTCAGTGTATCAAACACCTTCCTTCTCCTTGGTCTCCCAAGCCAGCTTTCTTTTCTGCATCTTTGGGGCTTTTTCTTCTGAGATGCCTTCCCCTGCCTAGACGTATCCTTTTATGTTCCTCTGATGTTTAAGCAACAAATTGCTGTTTTTATCAAGACTCTGTGGTCTGAAGATAGTCAAGATTTAAATGATTTACATTTAGAAGGAGCCAATCTATTTTAAGAAGTGAAGTGTCGTACTTCCACAATTAATGTATTTATGAAACTATATTTCTTTTGCCCAAAAATCCACCTCTCTTTTTATTCTTTCCTGTAATCATCAGGAATACTTTTTTATTTTTTTGAACAGCTTCTGAAACAGTTATTTTCTTTTTGTTTCCCCTTCTTCCCTGTCTGTTCTGTGCCCTGCTTCTCTTTTGTTTTCTCTCCTGTTCTTCACTTTTGCACTGCAAATTATTCTCTCTCCCTTTTTGGCCCCACACCTTCATTCCAAACCCCAATTTTATGTATGTTTCCAGTCAGTGTTTAAGGAGGAGAAGTCAGTTACCTCTATACGCAGTAGCTAGCATCTCAACCTATACCTTATTAGGTATGTCTTTTATGCTTGTAGTAGAATCAATTGGGGTTTTTGGGGAGTGGTGTTTCAGGTTTTTCATACTTATCGTTTTGGCACTGTTCTTCATGCTCTGTGTTTTTATTACGTTGTGATCAGAGAATACACTGGAAGGGATCACACTTTATATCGAGTATCTTGGAAAGTCTGTTAATAGAAAATTGTGAAGTATCAAAATAGCCTTGAAAGAGATCTTAATCACCTGTGTGAATGGATTGACGAAGTTTAAGTATACAACTAGGTGATTAATTAGCTTGAAGACCCAAATGCATGCTTAAGTAGATGACCATGCCCCTAGGCTCATCCACTTGTTTCTACTCCCTCAGTTAAGCATTCAATATTATCTGTAATACAGAATATTCCCATTTAAGAGCTCATACAAGTCTTGCCACAGAGCCAATTATACAGTGTTTTCCGTAGTGTGTCATCCTAGGACATGATTTTGAGCATGTAACTACTATCCTATAATACTGACATTAATAAGTATCAGATAGAGTAATTGATCAGGGGACACCGATTTGAAATTGTTCTGAATCAAAGGTTTTTTTCATATTTTTCCATGGTTGCTACAGTGTTTTAATACAATTCCTTTTCCTAAAAATTCTGGCATATTTTTTAATCTTAGTCAAACACAATGTAGCTGGTGTCAGCTCCTATGCGGAATTAATCTTCTGCAGCAGTTGTTAAAATGGAAACTGCAAGTGCCCAGTACCTCTCATACCTAAACCTTATGCTTATTCATATGCTAATGATAACGTCTGTGAAAGCCAATACTTAAACTGTCTTTTTTGTGAAGGTATATGTTATACTATCTGATATTTACAGATTACATGAACATAGACATCAAGCTGTCTAATTGTGTTTATGCATCTCAGCTGGGCATTTCGGCAATAGTACTGTGCATTGAACTCATTGCTGATATAAAATTGAACCTGAAAAATGGAGGATGAGTATGCCATATAGGAGTCTTGCTCAGCTCATGTTGTGCACCCAAGGAATTTGAGGAATAGGAACTCCAGATCATGCTCCAGTAGCTAGTGTCAAGGAAAATCAGAATGTTATAGTTGGTAGGAACCAGGAGGGAGAGGAATGCATGCTGCATGGTGTTGGTAGTTCTGGGCTACCCATTGACTTCTTATCCCGGGTGCAGCACTTGCAGCCCTCTGTTTACCTTACGTTTTTGTTCTTCTGGTAGAAAATGTCACTTCAGGGTGCTATGGAGCCCAGTCCTTTGACTCCAGAGCCTTTCAATCTGCCGAACAGCATCTTGAGATCTGTAATTCCCCAAGAGTGAGCTTATCCTCACTGGTACCTTTAGCCCAGTTTTGAGAATAATACTAAAGCAAATTATATTTTATTGTGTTGATATTCATACAAGTATGCACACTTGTGCTGGACTAAGAAGAGAATTGAGATGAAGCATCGATGATTTTAAGCATTAGGAAATCAATGATATATTGGAGGATGATTGGGTTTCTGTTCTTGCCATCTCTTATATGTCTCGAAATGGCTCACTGTTTACATAGAGGAAAGCAATACTTCAGTTGCTGTATTAAAACTGTTAGTAATGACTGCAACAAGTTAGCTGTGATTACCAGAAAAAGATTGTTCAGGCTAATGACTTTGAAATTTGTTTTAGATAAATTTAATTTGGTTTTAGTTAGAAATAAAATATTTCTTTCTCTCACATACTTTAAGTTTTTAATGGCTGTACTGCAATTATATTGGCTGTTTGGAAGGTGGATGTGAGTGTATGTACACGTATACATACAGACAGAGAGAGAAACTGTATGCAAAGAGAGGAAAATGTTGCAAAATGCTGAAAATTGTGGAAGAAATACTGCTTTTTGTTACGCCCATAAAATCTTGTTGATTTGAGGGGGGTTGCACTAGTGTAACTGTGAGCAGAATTTGTCCCTTTTATCTGAGATGCATTATCTAAAACTTCCAAGTAAGCAGAGGTTCAAATAATTGGGGGAATTGCTAGGTATGATATTACTGCTGGGGAACATAACCTAGATAAGAAGGGGGTTCTGATTGAAGGTGTTCTAATAAATGGATTTTAGTATCCTATATTTTGTATTTCTAAAGAGTGTTGCTTGAGCATTTGTGTTTAGAAGCACTGGAAAATATATTACTCACTAATCATAGCTGTAGTATTTTTAAGGAACGATCATGAAACTAAAATCCGCAAGATGCAGGAAGAGTTCCAATACGTCCATAGGAAAATATGGGGTTAAAGTGGACTGGATTTTAAGCAGTGTTCAGTTGACTTGCTGTGTGGGGAGAGACTGAGCAGTCCTGGCTAATGACTTGTAGGTACTGAATCCTCAGGTCTCTCAGGTGGTTTCACTCGACCAGTTTCAGCAGAATGATGAAAAGGTTGAGATAAAATAAACTGACAGTTGCTACTCATCGCAGGCAGCAAGCTGTACCCTGGCAGATGAGACCCTGGGAGCCCTCTTTTTTAAACAAAGGCTTTCACTGCAGTGAGCAATGAACTCCACACAAAAAGGGAAAAGGAGAGAGAGATTGGCAGCTGGTGACCGACAGGAGGAGGGAAAGCAGGGAAACTGAGAAACACAGCAATTGTTGGCTAATTAGAAGCCATTCCCACCTACTTAATACCAACCCATTAAGCAGAAAACACTTTTCATCTTACTCTCGCTGCTACACATGACATTATACTCCAATCAATACCCTCCCACCGGCTGCCCCACTGCCCACAAATGAATACATTGCAGTTCAAGAATGCAGTAATTGAGTTGGGGCAGTGAAACTGCAGCTCACAGTCAAGATCTTTCTCTGAAGATACTAATGTAGTGTTTGTGATGCTTGGATAAAGAAATCAAATGCCTATATTGACAGCTGTCAACAATTGGCAAATGGATGAAGTCAGCAATGAATCCATTTTAACCTTCGATTGAAGAGACAATAAGTGTTTATTTTCAGAGTATTTTTTCCTGTTTAAGTAAGAGATCTAGGATTTTTGCACCCAGATGTTTAGGTTTTCCAGGGCATTTTGAAATCTGATCCTCGGTTATACCTACAGAATATATATAAGCACATCATTATGTACATGCAAAAATACATCTCTATCAATACATCTCACAAGCTTCCCTGTTTTCTGGAAGGTTTTGAGGTAGCCCTAACCTTGTAAAAGTGTTTACAGCTGCTTGCTGCTTTTTTTTTTCTTTTTTTTTTTTTTAGGTTTTTAGGCTAAATTTACCCCGGCTTTTTTTTTTTGTAGCCCTAACCTTGTAAAATTGTTTTCAGCTGCTTGCTGCTTTTTTTTTTCTTTTTTTTTTTTTTAGGTTTGTAGGCTACATATACTCAGGCTATTTTTTTATTTCATTTAAGTCCTACTATGATTTTTAGGGGTTACCTTAAAATGTATAGTTTGGTCCACAATAGTATGTTGTGCAGCAGATCCAGGATCTTGCATTTCAATCATTAGGAACCTACATTTAAGTTCTGCATTTACATTCTTGCAACATTTTTTTTCAGATTAAGTCCCTTGTTCCCTGAGCCATCTGGAGTTGGTAATACTATGCAGAATCTGCAGCATAAAGTAATACTGTGCAGACTGCAGTATAATTCCTGCTTCATGCCAGTTTTGTCACCACAGAATCAAAACAGCAGGACACTAACTCTCCCTCCTTGGTTAGACTGAAGAAGACATCAGTGTAAGTCTTTTGGAAGTGCTGGAAGGAGGTTCCAAAGCAGCACATGACATCTCTCCATCCCTTTCAATTCCAAAGTGAATTGAGTATCAATTCAGGAACAGCGCAATTCCTTACAGTGCAAGTTTGAAACCATCTTTTTGATGCAGATAAATTGTGTACTGTGACATCTGATATTCGCAGAAAGAGACTACCATCGTGTGTGCTATTCATTGTCATAATAATATTGTGGCATTTGCAGTATGGCATTTCTTCAGATGCTGTTTGCTAAAGTGCTTCTTACGGACATAATTGTATAATGTGCTGTTAACTTGCCTAGCTGAGCCTTGGACCCTTGAGTTAGCCATTATGGATGTGCAATTACTTCGCCTACTACTTGGGGCTCTCACCATTTAACAGCTTATCTATGTCTGAGTAAGAACAGTTAAAGCTGAGTACAGTCAATAAGGCTGACACAGTAGCAAACGTTTTGCATCTTTTGAAATTGTAAGCTAAATAACAACAAACTGCTACTTTGTTGCCACTTTCCGGTTGTATTACAATATTTTAAGCTTATTAGTATAGTTATCATTAATTTTCACTCCTTTTTGTTTGTTTCCCAATATTGTAAAGCATTTTCAGCCACTCTCTTTGTGTATGCTCCCTGGTTTCTTTTGATACATGTTAACGGCAATCTTGGAAAAAGATTTGTCCTCAATACCGTCTGTAAAGAGAAAAGAATCATCTTCTAATGGAGAAAGCTGGAATCTTCACCACTTGTGAAGATGCAAGTACCTAGGACGTAGGAGTTGAATATGATAAGGCATGGAGACAGAGGTTTTATTTACTTAGAGATACTTGGATAGGACAGTCAAAGCTACATTCAGATTCCATGTAGGTACAATCTGCTTTTTAAAATAATCTGGTTCTAACATTTGTTTCTGTAAACTATGGGACTTTGATTCATTTAAACACAAAGGTGTACAAGTTCAGTCTTACTTTGACTAGATGCCAGTTAGAAGGATCAGAGGCAGGCTAGGGAAAATGTGAAGAGCAGTTGGCAGTCTTTCTGTTTCTCAGTGCCAAAGCCTGTGGGGTTAATTTGAAGATACCCAAATCACCTTGGCAGCAGCATCTCTAGTCTTTTCCAGAACTGTGGAATTTAATGAGCCAGGACAATAAACATAGGATCATAGAAAAATAGTAATGGAAGGGACTTGAAGTCATCCTCTTCAGCCCCAATGTAGGAGCAGCTGTATTTATGTAATTTCTAAGAGAAGTTTGTCTTGCCTGTTCTTAAAAAATATCTGGCAATGGACCTTCCAGAGCATCTGTGGACAATCTGCTCTAAAGGGTAAAATGATGCAGGAAAAGGAAAAAGCTAGAAAGTTTTTCCTTTATGTCTAAAGTTGTCTGTAGTCGGTCTGTATCTATTCTATCCAATGAGGACTTCAAATTCATTCCTTCTGTCTTTTCAGTAACCTCGGAGAAAGGAATTACCTGACACATGCTGGGGTTTAGAAGAAAATTCTATAGTGATCTCTGAACAGCATGGTTATAAGGATTACTTAGTCTGAGTATTAATTAGACATGACAGAATGTAGTTCCTTCGTATGAGCATGACTGATGGAAGGAGGTAGAAAGATGCAAGGGTCCTATTTCCTTTTTATTTATTTTCCAGTTATATTGTCCAGTAGGACTAATGCGTATCACTCAGCTGAGCACAGTAGATTGGCATCCGCTCCAAAAGAGCAGGAAGAACAAGGGCTTCACCAGCAAGAAACAGACCAATGCAGAGGGAAGGGTTGCTGCTTATTCTTAAATGGTCTCTCTAAGTGCTGGGAAGCTTTGTTATTCAAAGTCTCTTACATAATTCAGGACTCTTCTCCTTATGTAAGTTTTGAAAGGAGGAAAGCAGCTAGATTTCTGAATTCATCTTGAGTTAATTCACTCATACCTTAACTCTTACTAGAGATGCAACCGAACTCAAATGAAATGCTTTAGATCCTTATTTACGATTGAGGATGTTTCTTCTAGAAACGCAGATGTGAGATCTGAACGGTCTCTTTATCCATTCTAGACTGTATGTTTTGATACTTCAAAAACCAGACTCTGATTTTTCTCCAGGTTCAGAGTTCAGTAATTGAATCCATATCCTCAAATAAATAAAATTACAGTACTGCTGTGCACCTTCCCTTTTCATCAATTCTTTTTTCCCTCCCATGGCAACTTAATTGAGGCATTTTTCTTCTGATCTTGGAACCTCTTCTAATAGTCTTATCTGCAAT